CTAAAAGAAGTGACTTGACCAAAGTCACCCAGCTAGTAAGTGGCAGAGCTAGATTTTAAAGTCACGTCTTTTTGGCACCCGAGCTACTATTCTTTCCATGATTTCCCATCTCTACGAACAAGTTAACTGGCTCCTTCCCAATCCTGTACCCAAGCTCCTGGCATCCTTCCCACCCACAAAGAGGCTCCCATTCATTCTGCTCCAGACACAAGTAGTGGGAGAGAAGAAACAAGCAGGTGTTCGGGGCACTGCCAGTAGTCAGGCTTTCCGAAACCCTCGCTCTGTGCTTGAGTTCCATCAGTAAGCCCCGTGGTCTCAGCTCCATGCCTCCCTCTACTGGACTCTCCGTGCCATCACAGGCACTCATGCTGACTCCTTTCCTAAGGAGAGAGGAAGCAGATTTCAACTTTGTCAGTTCTCCTACTGGCTCTAAAATCAACACGTTGCCTTACTTTAATTTTTTTACTTTGTTTTTACTTTAATTGAGAGGGTTTTTTTGTTTTAATTTGACTATAGGAAAACCATTAAGGGGTTTAAATATCAAAGAAAGGATTTATCAAATTATTTTTGTTGTTCAGTTGTTTTTCAATAGTGTCTGACTCTTCGTGACCCCATTTGAGATTTTCTTGGCAAAGATACTGGAGTAGTTTGTCATTTCCTTCTCCAGCTCATTTTACAGAGGAGGAAACTGAGGCAAACAGGGTTAAGTGACTTGCCGGGGGTCACACAACTAGTAGGTTCTAAGACCTGTTTTTCATAATTCAGGTCTTCCTGACTCCATGCCTGGTGCTCTACCCACTGTGCAACCTAGCTGTCCGTTATCAAGCAGGAGAAGTTTTTAAAAATTGAATCTGTGTGATCTTCTGCAATTCCTTTCCCTGTATACTGAGGGGTTGGACAACTGGTATCTAAGATTCGTTCCATCGCTAACATTATCTGATCTCTTTTCTTCGTACTCTGTTGTTCAAATTATGGCATTCTGTCTTCTATATGTTAAGGTTCCTCCTGGCTCTGATGTTCTGTGTTCTGAGCTCTAAGGTTCCTTCCAACTCATATCTTCTATATTCTAAAGTCTCTTTTCATTCTAACATTCTATACCAGGGGCAGGGAACCTGCGGCCTTAAGGCCCTAGGTTCCCCACCCCTGTTTGTACCCTCTAGTCCTTTCTCATTCTAAAAGCCTGTGGATGTGTTCTAAATTCATTTTCAACAAATTTGTCTTTAATAGGCCCTGTGCTTATCTAAGGAAGTCGGGATGGGTAGACAAATAAGGACAGGGTGTCCCAGAAGTCTCAGCTCAGTTTCAAGCTACTAAACCTTAAAATTATGCTACAATTTTTGGGACAGCTGGCATAATACAATTTGGAGCAAAGGATCTCTGACCATTAGAGGAAACTGATGGTACTTCCACTTGGTGAAATCAGGAAAGATTTCAGAGACATTGGCCTATGAACTAAGGCTTGAAGCAGTTAGAGTTTAAGATTGAGTTAGGAAGAAACAAGTTCAAATCCTGCCTCAAACACTTACTGGCTATGTAGCCCTGAGCAAGTCACTTGCCACCTTTCAGCCTCAGTTTCCCCATCTACAAAACTGGAGGTAATAATGACATCTTTCTACCTGCCAGAGTTGTTGTGGGGAGCAACTGAATTAACTTACACAGTGCCCTTTGCAAACCTTAAAGCATGATGGAAGTGCTAGCTATTATCATTATTATTATTCTTGGAGCAAGAGAAAAATGTCAACAGGCAAACATGAGAAAGGACTATATTCCAGGCGTGGGGGATGGGCCTGAGATTCCTGCTTGGAGGAGAGGTAGGAGTCAGCTCGTCAATCAAGCATTGTGTGAGGCAGTGTGCTATAATGGATAGTACACTGGCCTTTGCATCAGGAAGATCCAGTTTCAAATCCTACTTCAGACACTTCCTGTGATACTGGGCAAGTCATTTCAATTCTCTGGGCCTCAGTTTTCTCATCTGTAAAATGAGAGGTTTAAAATAGGTGACCTCCAAGGGCTCTTCTAGTTCTAAATCTGTGATTCTGTGCCTGTAAATTTGAGAGGACAGCTGGTAGTCTAGCGTGTTGGAATGTAGCATGTCTACAAAGGAGATCATGTAAAACAGACATGTCAACCAAGTCACAAGCAGCCCACATCACTCCCAAGTCCAGAACCAGATTTAAATGGAATTGGGAAATATTTAGCAAAATGAATAAAATTACAACAAAACATAGATAATGTTGATATACGGTGATGCAGTGGATAGAATGCCGGCCCTCGAGTCAGGAGGACCCGAGTTCAAATCCAGCCTCAGACACTAGTGTGGCCACAGTCAAGTCACTTCACCCTGTTTGCCTCAATTTCCTCATCTGTAAAATGGACTGGAGAAGGAAAGGGCACATCATTTGCCAAAGAAACCCAAACGGGGTCATGAAAAGTCGGATATGACTAATCAACTAAACAATAAGAAGTCAGTAAGTGCCCACAGCAGTCCTTATTGTATCCTATGGCCTGATTCAATTTGAGTTGTACACCAATAACGTAGAACGACTAGAACCAGGGCCTTAAATGCCAAGATAAGGAGTTCATATGTTGCCTTCAAGACTGTAGAGAGCCGTTACTCTCTTTGAGAAGACAGTGACAAGCCCAAACTGGGCACACTAGAAAGATGAGCTTGGCAGCCATAGGGAGAACGGGATAGAGAAAGAAGAGACCTAATGGCAGGGCAATGAGTTAGGAGGCTGCTATAATATTCCAGGGAAGAGGGCCTGAGGGCCTGATTCAGGGTGGGGACTATCACAATAAAGAGAAAGAGATTAATTCCAGAAATCCCAATAGGTTAAATCCACAGAACTTGGCCAGAGACTAGATATTGGGCAATGGGGGGTGGGGGAGAGTGGGAGAGAAGAAAGAATCAAAAATGACGGAGATTTCAAGCCTGGATATCTGGCATTGGTGTTGCCATCCACAATGGGGAAATCTGGAGAAGAGCTGGATGTGGGGGAAGAGAATGATTTCAATTTTTAGCATTTTAAGTTTGGGGTGCTAAGACATCCAGGGGACCAATAACGCTCCCCCTCTCATGGGGAGAAAAGAATGCACAATAGGTTCAAACGCCCCAGTGAGAGGCCATTTCCTGGGATGGAATGAGCTCTGGACTGGGGAACCAGGTGGCCTGCATTCAACTTCTGCTACTGATCTGCTCACTTAAGCTCTCTTAGCCTCAGTCTTCTCATATGAAAAATAGAAGCAAGAATACTGATATTTCCTACTTTACAGGTTTGTTATGAGGAAAGCACTTTGTAAACTTCAGAGTGATATGGAAATACAAATTCTTTCAATGACAATGGGTTTCCTCCTCCAGTCTCTGCTCTGAGTCCACACTAGCAGGTGCCCTCACCAGTAATTCTGTTCAATTCTTGGGAGAAACTGCTATAAAATGAAATGTAATGTCATTATATCCGTGCTCTCATCTAACAAGTGATTGGCCTCAGTGCATGAACACTGGGGGGAGGTCACAGAATTATAAGATTATAGTGAGAGAATTAGAAGTGTCTCATTGGCCATATGGTCCAACACCCTCATCTTATGGATGAGGAAACTGAGGATATTAAATAATCAAGGTCATATGGGTAGTAAGTTCAGCTGTGTCCAACTCTTCATGGTGCCATTTGGGATTTTCTTGGCAAAGATCCTAGAGGGATTGGCCATTTCTTTCTCCAGCTCATTTTACAGATGAGGAAACTGAGGCAAACAGGGTTGGGTGACTTGCCCAAGGTCACAGAGCTAGTAAATGTCTGAGGCCAGATTTGAACTTGAAATTGAGTCTCCCTGACTTCAAGCCCAGCACTCTGTGCACTATGGCACCACCTAGCTGCCTATGGGTAGTAAGAGTCAGAGGAAAAGGCAAAAAAATAACACCATCATATTAGCAAAGAGATAACCTGCTTCTGGCCCTACAGTTACTCCTTGAAAATGACAAAGTAATAATCCAGCTGTGCCTCTGGGCGGGAACACACTCTTCCCAGGATCAGTGAGACAAAAGCATCTCGCTGCCTTTGAGGAGGAGACAGATCCTTGGGTCTCAAGAAGACTGTGAGTGGAAAAGCAGAAGTAGCAGGCAGTATTTACTAAGTCTTATAGTGGGAACGGTTGTAGCTCCCAGTGGGAGCTGCTGAATCTAAGCACCTGAACCGTGTCAAGGAACCACTGAGTTTGGAATGTATCTCTGGGATTTCAGGGGGTTGCCCAGCTCCAAGAGAAGCCATAGGTATATGAAGTAATTGTTTTTAGTATATTTTTAATTTATTTCTTTTCATTCTGTGGGTAGGCATAAAGATTATATTCTGCTGAACCACGCTTATGGCCCAGTGTGAAGAACCATGGATTTGGAGTTGGAGGATCTAGGTTCAAATCTTGGTTCTTACACTTAGTACCTGTGTGACCTTGGGCAAGTTAATTCATGTTCTTGTGCCTCAGTTTCCCCATTTGTAAAGGAAGGGGGTTGGACCGGATGAATTTTAAGGTTTCTTTCAGCTCCAAATCTATGCTACTACAATCCTATGGTTCTATTATTTCATTTTCAAGTGATTAGAGTCCACTGAAATACACACAAGCGTAGCAGAGTAGAGTTTTCACAGTGTGTGGGAGCTTGAGCTGTAAGAGACTAATTGAACAAAATCACACAGACCACACCCTTTGACAAATGAGGGAATAACACTACCACCCACAAAACAGGCAGAGTTGGAAGATAGAGGTGTGAAGCTCTTGGAGAACATGAGAGCTTGGCATTTCCCTTAAGCATCATTTGGTATTTGGTTAAGTAACCAGTGGAAAGAGTATGGAATTACCCAAGTCCTGTTCTTTATGGTGAACCAGTATAAGGCTACTGGACAGCAGTATGAAATGTGGGATGCCACTACTGTGATTCCATTTCCCATACACAGCCCTCTAAGCCCAAGGTAGCAGTGTCTCAGCCTATCCAACATTCTAGAACCAAATGCTTCTCAGGCAAACGCTCTCTTCTCCCACCTCTTCAGTGCTTCTTTGATCTCTCTGTTCCTCAGGCTATAGATCAAAGGATTCAGCATGGGGATGACCATTGTGTAGAAAATAGATACCACCTTGTCATGGCTGAAGGAGTCATTGGAGCTGGGATGCAGGTAAATGAAGAGACCAGAACCATAGAATAGAGTCACAGCCATCAGGTGAGAAGCACAGGTGTTGAAGGCCTTTGACCGCCCTTGGGCAGAGCTAATCTTCAGGATGGCCTCAACAATATGGCCATAGGAAACCACAATGATGAGGACAGTTAGTACCCCAAAAACCACTGCTAGCACAAACTTGAGGATCTGTAGGGCCAAGGTACCAGAACAGGACAGGACCAGCAGCTGGGGCAGATCACAGAAAAAATGATCGATCACATCTGGCCCACAGAAATTGAGTTGAAGTAAAGAACACAGTTGGATCAAGGAACCAGAGAATCCACTCATGTATGATCCAGCCACCATCCACATGCAGAGGGCAGGAGACATGATGGCTGTGTAGAGCAGTGGGTTGCAGATAGCAGCATAACGATCATATGCCATGGCAGCCAGGAGGCAACATTCAGTCAGTCCCATGCCAGAAAAAATGAAGTACTGAGCAGCACAGCCCCCAAAGGAGATGGTCTTCTTCTCCTTGAAGAAGTCAGAGAGCATCTTGGGGGCTGTAGAGGAAACATAGCAGATGTCAAGAAAGGACAGGTTGCTGAGGAAGAAGTACATGGGTGTGTGGAGATGGGAGTCGACCTTGATCAGGGAGATGAGGCTCAGATTCCAAGCTAAAGTCATGAGATAGATCACCAGGAATATCACAAAGAAGATAATATTGAGCTCTGAATAGTCTGAGAATCCCAAAAGGATGAACCTTGTTACTACTGTGCTGTTCTTTCCCCTTGCCATTGGCTCGATGCTCTTGACCTCTACAGAGAGATAAAAAAAAAAGAGACCTTTGGGTCAATGATTGCCCCCCCACCAGAACCAACTGATGATCAGTAAAGAAAGAGAAGAAATAAATGATCAAATATGGCTTCAATCAATACTTCTTGACTAATTAAAATTGAGAGTATAGAACCAGATTTTAATAATACTTTTATTTTTAAATGTACTTCATCTATCTTGGGTGGGCATGGTTAGGCCCCATTGCTAGTGGTCTTTGAAAAAGGAATCTACATTGTAAGATCACTTTCAGTTTGAATACACTATGTTCTATATTCTATAGCCCCTTTCACTGCTGACATTCTACGTTCTATTTTCTAAACCCTTTCCCAGATTTCATATTCTATGTTGTAAGGTCCTTTTCAACCTAAATATTCTGCATTCTATAAATCTGAAAATAAATAAATAAAAATAGAATCTATAAACTTTTCCTTAATACAGTCTATTTCCATCTGTATAGGGCTATGTCTAGGTGTAGTGTCTTTCCAAGTAACAATGGGGCTAATGAGTTCTTATCAGTTATGCCACTCTAATGAATGGCTAACAGTATATTCTCCTAAAATCCTGGCGGGTTCAAGATAGCTACAGTCATGGCAAATTCTAGCTCTCATATGAGTGATTTAGCTATTTACAAATAGAAACCTTAGAGACAAATTCCACATCTTCTAAAAAGAAACCTTTGAATTTTCTCCAGGAGGAAAACATAGCGTGTCTTCCTGGGCAGTTTTGATGGCTGAGAAACTCCCTGGTTGCTGGAGCTGTATTTACTGATGCCGAAGCATCCAGACTGAAGGTGAATCTTATTGGTACTTCACCAGATACTTAGTGCCTGCCTGCACATCATTCAGATATATTCAAATGCTGTGTTACTGGTGCTATCTTAGCGTGGTATAGTAATGGCTGGACGGTCGATTTGAAATCACCGAAGATTAATACATTGTGGAGACTAAATATAGTAATGAGTGACTATATGTTCCTCTGGGGCAGCGAGGTGGTGCAGTGGATAGAGTGTTGGGTCTGGAGTCAGGAAGACAAGTTCAGTTCTGGCCTCAGACACTTACTAACTCTGTGAGCTTGGACAAGTCATTTAACCCTGGTTGCCTCAGTTTCCTCATCTGTAAAATGAGCTGGACAAGGAAATGGCAAACCACTCCAGTATCTTTGCCAAGAAGACTCCAATAAGGGGTCACAAAGTTAGTCACAACTGAGATGACTAAATGACATGACCCTCCTTACACCAACACATTTTGATTTCACATTGACATGGACTTTTGTGACCTCAATCATTTAACAAAGACTCCAGGAATATTAGAGCAGGAAGGACCGTAGCCAGTTATCCAGTTCATTCTGTATTTTATAGATTTCAGACACTGTATTTGAAGTGAGTTACCCGGAGGTTCCAAAAAGCTGGATGGTTAATTCCTTGCCCACATGACAGTCTTTCAGATATTCGACATTTGTCCTTGTTCTGGCAGGGGTTCTTAACCTGAGTTCTATGAATTTGTTTATTCAAAAAATATGTTGATAATTATATTTCCATATAGTTCAACTCCTTTGCAACTCTATATATTTTTTTGTTTGTTTTGTTTTTTTAACTTTTGGGCAATTGGGATTAAGTGACTTGCCCAGGGTCACACAGCTAGTAAGTGTCAAGTATTTGGTCCGAGGCCAGATTTGAACTCAGGTCCTCCTGACTTCAGGGCCGGTGCTATATCCACTGTGCCACCTAGCTGCCCCAATTCTATGTATTTTAGTTCATGTATTTAAAAACATTATTTGGAGAAAAGGGCCATGGGTTTCATCAAGGCTGTCTAAGGGTTCCATAGCACAAAAAAAGGCCATTAGGCCTAAGACTTCCTTTCCCCATTGGGTCCTTCTTATGCTGATCATATCTCCTGATCTTAAGATTCTTCCCTATTCTGGTTCTCCTCTCTGGATGCTTTCCAGTTTATCAATATCCAAATGGGGCAATCAGAAAGTAGTCTGACATTCCAGGTACAGTTGTATTGGGGCGCTATTGTCACCTCTATGCTTCTGGACCCCCTAAGATTCCGAATCTCAGAGGAAGGAAAGTAGATGCTGAGTACCAACACATACATGCTGACTATAGAATGGAATGCCAGTCTAACTGAACCTAGACTGTTATATTTTGTATAATAACTCCTCCTCTTCTACAGACCATAATTCAGTAGCCTTTAGGTCCATCTTAGACACCATATGGTGCCAAAATGCATCCAAAGACATCATCATAAAAGACTTTCATGTACAAGGCCATGACTAGGCTTGGCCCCCAAGAGCAATGCTATGGTGACACTTTGGGTTATTAGTTTTCATAATTAAGACAGTTTTGCCCTTGATTTGCTATTTTACTATTTGGGCTATTTTCATTTTTTCTTTCAAATCCATAATGACATGGCAAAAAGAAAGCTTCATGGAGGCAGAAAACCTGGATTTAAGCTCCTGCTCTGTCACTTACTAGCTCAGAAGTCTTGGGCAAATCATTTTAACTTTCCTGAGATTCACTTTACCCCTCTGGAAAATGAAGGGTTGGACTGGATGGTCTCTGAATTCTCTTCCAGTTCTCACATCCTGTGAGTGTGTGTTTCTATGATAAGGGTAGGGACTTTGTCTTAAATGTCTTTGTTTATAACTCACCCCAGTGCCTCTTGTGGTGCTAGGCACAAACTGAGAAGTCCGTGTTCATTGAGTGAATAGAGAAACGCAACATCAGGTTTTCACTCATTGACTGCTGGATTTGGGAATTGAGGCAATATCACTCTTCCTTCTACCACTGGGAGCCTTGTTCTTTTCCACACCACTTGAGAATAGGAAGAAAGGAAGGAATGGAAGGAAGGAGGGAGGGAAGGAGGGAGGGAAGGAGGGAGGGAAGGAAGGAGGGAAGGAAGGAGGGAAGGAAGGAGGGAGGGAAGGAGGGAGGGAAGGAAGGAGGGAAGGAAGGAGGGAGGGAAGGAGGGAGGGAAGAAGGGAAGGAAGGGAGGGAGGGAAGAAGGGAAGGAAGAGAGGGAGGGAAGGAGGGAGGGAAGGAAGGAAGGAAGGAAGGAAGGAAGGAAGGAAGGAAGGAAGGAAGGAAGGAAGGAAGGAAGGAAGAAAATCCCAAGGACTTAAAGGGGCAATGATTGGGTGGTGATCTACCCAATTAGATTAGATTAGAGTGAGTGCAAACTGAATCAGCATAAGGAGTGGTGAAGGTCAGCTGTCTCCTTTCAAAGTTATGCCAGCTCATTTGTGTTTGTATTATAATAATATTATAATAATTTGTATTGTATAATTTACATGATAATTATATAATTTAGTAATATAATATCTGTATGGTCTAATATAATAGTTTATGTTATAAATTATATTATAAGCTTTGGAGAGTTCATAGAGAGAATGCTCATCCAGACCTAGGTTGGATTAGATGGCTTCCAAAGTTTTGGTTTTTCCCAATACTGGTATTCTGTAATTTTCTCCTTTGTTATTTCATTTGCTGTCTTTTGCTTTTCCTTGGGCGCAAGACTTAGAGCTAGAAGAGATCTCACAGTTCAGTTTGTTCGTCTTCCTCATTTTACAGATTAGGAACTTGAGACCCAGATGGGGGAAGAAGATTCTCAGGATCACAGAGTCTCAGAGTTGGAAGAGCCCTCTGAGGTCATCTGGCCCCACCTGATTATTATAACCCTGTCTATGACAACCCCGACACGTGATTAGCCTTTGCATAAAGAACTCCAGAGAAGGGGAAGCCAGTGTGTCCTGGGCAGCATCTTCCAATTCTAAAAATGTCTCCAGACTTCCACTGAGGTCTCTGGAGATCTGAGGTCTATACTTTTCCTTACATTGAGCCAAAATCGGATTCTGTGTAATTTCTGCCCATTTTTCTGAGTTCATCCCATTGAGCCTGAATGGGACAAATCTAATCATCCTCAGAATAAATCTGACTCCTCTTCCCTATGACAAACCTTGTGAAGGCAGTGATCATGCCCCCACCAAAGTCCTCTTTTCTTCAGGATAATGATCATCCTCCCCTGACTCTGGTCCATATTAGTATAATAAGATTGCATAGAGAGAGTTGGAAAGGACCTTAGAAGTCAGCTAATCTGACCCTTTATTTTATGTATAATGAAACTCAGGTACAGAGAGGCTAAATCATTTGCCCAAGGTCACACAGGCAGTAAGTGACAAAGTTGAAATCTGAACATAGATTTATCTAACTCTAAATCCAGTTTTCTTTCCATTATCTCATCCTACCTCTTGATGACATCCTTCCTGAAATGCTGTGCCCAGAAATAAATGCAATAATTTAAATAAAGTTATTTACCCAAGGTCACATAGCTGGTAAGCAGCAGAGAGGAGGTTTCAACCTAGGACTTCTGCCTTTAGATCCAGGGCTCTTTCCAGTGTACTTCTATCTAGTATAGGTTTTTTTTTCCTGCAAAGACTCTAGCCTTATCTCTGGTTAGTTAAGGGGAAAGGGTTCAGATCATTCCTAAGTCAAAAAGATTCAGGCTCCTTAGGTACTTCTGAAGGCATGGGCTAGTAGCAGCCATAAAGATTATGAGTCTCCCCCAGACAGATCTGGCTTGCTGGTTTATAAAAGGGGTGGTTGAGATGAGATTAAGAATATTGGCTTTTCTGTGGGCTGTGTCATTATACCCACTCAATGCATGATGCCAGAAATTCAAAGTTAGAAATTTATTCTTTTGACTTTGAAACTCTGGACTCTATCAAAATGCAGGCAGCCAAATGGAACATAAGCTCTGGTTTGGGTGTTAGAGGATCATAGAGTTAAGGCTGGAAGGGACCTTAGAGGTCATCTAATCCAACCTCCTCATGTTACACATGCCCAGAGATGTTATGTGACCTAACAAAGGTCACACAGATAGTGAATGGCTGAGCCAGAATTTGAACTCTAAAGTCAGCACTCCATTTCACTGTACCTTGCAGAACAAAATACCCTCTTAATTAAT